AAACCACAACCGCTGAAAAGAATTCCGTGCTGCTGAAACTAAATGTATGTGAAGTTATGAATTTGCAGAACTTAAAAGGTAAATTTGAGTAAGTGCGCTGTGAGGGGAAGGTGGATGTCCCTGCTCCACGATTGCCGTAGGTCAGTGGATGTCCAGTTACCTCAACGAGAGACAAATAATAAGATCTACCTCTTTCTTGCTCAGGGACTGTTACTGACCTGGAGGCAAAATACTTAGTCTTCCTTTGGCCTTTTCCCCTGCTGATAAACAGGGGATCGTGAAGCTCCTTCGGAAGGCGATGAGACATTCGCAGTAGGAAAGAAAGGGCGAGATGTACTGGAAATGCTCTAAAAGAGTTGTCAGTACCTAAGGTGGCCAAATTTGGACTCAAGTCATGGAATAAATTGAAAAGAAATTAGCATGATTCCTTGGAAAGTATATGGAATAGAGGTGCCTGGGGGGCTCAGTCAGTTAAGCCTCCAACTTCGGCTCAGGTCATGATCTCACAGTTCCTGAGTTTGAGCCCTGCATGGGGCTCTTGTGCTGACAGCTCAGAGCCTGGAGCCTGCTTCAGATTCTGTCTGTCTGTCTGTCTGTCTCTCTCTCTCTCTCTGCCCCTCCCCCACTTATGCTGTCCCTCTCTTTAAAAAATAAACAGTAAAAAAAAAAGTGTAAGACATAATAAAATACAGAGTTTAAAAGAAGTCTACTGAGGGGCGCCTGGATGGCTCAGTCAGTTAAGTGTCTGACTTTGACTCAGGTCATGATCTCGTGGTTCGTGGGTTCACGCCCCACATGGGGTTCTGTGACGACAGCTCAGAGCCTGGAATCTGCTTCAGATTCTATGTCTCCCTCTCTCTCTGCCTCTCCCCCACTTGTGTTATGTCTCTCTCTCTCTCTCTCCTAAAAATAAATAAAATGTAAAAAATATTTTAAAAAAAGAAAAGTCTACTGAATGCCTCACTGGGTTCCAGGCTCTGTCCTGATTTGTTCTTCTTCGTGATCTGGTTCATCACCATCATCTTCACAACCTCCAAGGACCAACATGGAAATTCAAGCACCATGGCGGACCTCCATGGAGAACTCACAATGAAAGGCACAGAATCAGCATGTGAACTAATAAGCTGTCTGAGGAATTTAGGAAATAAGAAAACTCAGAGAGGGGGACAAAAGGGACAATGTGTGTTAACCTGAGCTGTTTTCACCATGTGTAGAGTTATTTTAGGTGAGCGTTTTTATTTATTTTTGTTTTATTTGAGTATAGTCGACACACAATGTTACATTAGTTTCAGGTGTACAACATAGTGATTTGACAAGTTTATACATTATGTTATGCTCACACAAGTGTACCTACCATCTGTCCCCCCTACGTCACTATTACACTATTATCATTGACTGTGTTCCTGTGCTGTGCCTTTTATTGCCATGACTTACTCATTCCAGAACTGGAAGCCTGTGTCCCCCCACTCTCTTTCATCCGTTTTGCCCACCAGCCCCATCCTTTTCCTCTGCTAACCTTCAGTTTTTTTCTCTGTATTTCTAGGTCTCAGTCTGCTTTTTGTTTGGTCATTTGTTTTCTTTTTTTTTTTTTTTTTTAATTCTACATATTAGTGGAATCGTATAGTATCTGTCTCTTTCAGTCTGACTTATTCACTTAGCATAATACCCTCTCGGTCCATCCATGTTGTCTCAAGTGACACAGTCTCATCTTTTTATGGCCATGTAATATTCCAGTGTGTGTGTGTGCGTGTGTGTGCATGCACGTGAGCGTGTGCACACACATACCACATCTTCCTTATCCATTCATCTATTGATGGATACTTGGATTGCTTCCATAATTTGTCTACTGTAAATAACGCTGCAATAAACACCAGGGTGCATATATCTTTTCAAATTAGTGTTTTCATTTTCTTTGGGTAAATACCCAGTGGCGGAATTGTTGGGCCGTGTAGTACTTCTATTTTTAATTTTTTAAGGAACCTCCATACTGTTTTCCATATTGGCTATTCTAATTTACCTTTCTAGCAGCAGGGTCCAAGAGTTTCTTTTTCTTTACATCGTGGCCAATCCTTGTTGTTTCTTGTCCTTTTGATTCTAGCCATTCTGACAAGTGTAAGGTGGTATCTCATTGTAGTTTTGATTTGCATTTCCCTGATGATGAGTGATGCTGGACATCTTTTCATGTGTCTGTTGGCCATCTGTATATCTTCTTTGGTAAAATGTCTATTTGTGTCCTCTGCCCATTTTTTAATTGGATTGTTTGGGGGGTTTTTTTGGTATTGAGTTGTATAATTTCTTTGTACATTTTGAATATTAACAATTTATTAGTCATATCACTTGCAAATACCTTCTCCCATTCAGTAGGTTGTCTTTTTGTTTTGTGGATGGTTTCCTTTGCTGTGCAAAGGTTTTTTTTTTTTTCTTTTTTTAAATGTTTATTTATGTTGAGGGAGAGAGAGAGAGAGAGAGCAGGAACAGGCAGGGGAGGGGCAGAGAGAGAGGGAGACACAGAATCCCAAGCAGGCTCCAGGCTCCAAGCTGTTAGCACAGAGCCCAATGCGGGGCTTGAACCCACGAACCCTGAGATCGTGATCTGAGCCAAAGTTGGATGCTTAACCCTTGAGCCAGCCAGGTGCCCCCAGACTAGTCTTTCTTTAAATTCATGACTGCAAAAAGTTTTTACCTTAAAGTTGATTTTTGCTTTTGTTTCCATTGCCTTAGGACATATATCTAGAAAAATGTTGTTACAGCCAATGTCAGAGAAATTACTATCTGTGCTCTCTTCTAGGGTTTTTATGCTTTCAGGTCTCACATTTCGGTCTTTAATCCATTTTGAGCTCATTTTTGTGTACAGTGTTAGAAAGTGGTCCAGTTTTGTCCTTTTCATGTCGCTGTCCAGTTTTCCCAGCATCATTTATTGAAGAGACTGTCTTTTCTCCATTGTGTGGTCTTGCCTCCTTCATCGTAGATTAATTGACCATATGACCATCGGTTTATTTTTGGAGTCTCTATCCTGTGCCATTGATATATGCATCTGTTATTGTGCTATACGTGGGCATTTTTAAAGAGGGGATGGTATTAAAAGTGAATAGGATTAAATTACAGACTGGAATGTTGGGAACTAAAATGATGACACCTGTATGTACAAATACAAGATGTTGGTAAAATGTATGCATTTTGTAGTACTAGAAAACATTTTTAAATAGAAGGAGTTTTTCCTTTTATATTTGTAAGGTGCTTTCTTTGGGAAAATTTTGAAGAAGCACAACATAGAGCTGAATCTTCTCTGTTAAAAGTGGACAACTATCCACATGTCCTTATTCCTCCCCCTTCAACAAGCCCACTGAAGTGAAAGAAGGGAGAGCGGGAAGAAGAAACCCCTAATGACAGAAGAAGAGAGGGGCCATCGGGGAAAGAGAGATTTCCAAAAGCTTCTGGCAGTTGCTAAGCAACTGAAGGGGAGAGCCGATGTAAAAGAGCAAAGGGACCAGCCCTCCAGAGCATCATGGGTCAGGCAAGCACCTAAAAAGGGTACAATTTGACCCTCGGGAATGGGAAATGCACCAGACTTGGCAACACCAGGTTCACCAAGGCTTGGGGGTGGAGCGCAGGACTAAAATTTGAAGGGCTGGTTGGCAGTCTGTGTGAGCCCAGCAGGCCACATCACTGTGCACCCTTCCTGCAGGCCGGTGATAGGAGGGCTCATCTCTGATGGCAAGTCAATATTCTCGTCCTGTCTGTGTTTCTTCTTACTGGTCTCTCGGCCTTGAATATTTCACCGAGCTGGTTCCTATTCATCCATCAGGACTGGCCGGGTCAGCTCATTCTCCAGGTAGACCGCCCCTCTCCTGGACGGTTCTCTCCTCTAGGCTCTATGGTCCTCATCCCGAACCTAATTCTTCTACGACACATATCATTTTAGAGATTTTTTTTGTGAACTGAAAGAGTGAGAAACGATGAATGGAGAAAGCCACACAATCTGAACCAAACCCCAAAAGGAAGGATAAATAGTATTTAATAGGAGTGCAAGGTCTGTAGGTCTTTGTACCTCAGAACCCACGGAGAGGGCGCCTCTGAATCTCTGGCAGCAACTTCCATCAGTGTTTGGCTTAATGCAAGTGTCTCAGCCTTACATGTGAACATTGCATTCTTTTTTCGTGGGGGGTCACCCTGCAATATGATCTAAACTCTTCATTCCGCAGTGTCTCCAGGAAGTAGACTTTGGCCAGCAGCTCAGAGCCACCTGGATCAGCTGTTTTCATTTACTAAAGAGTTTAGAAAAGAGTCAGCTTTGGTGTCTTAACTAACAAAGGCTCAGCAACCAATGAGATCACCACCGTTAGTTACGTTGATGTGTGTCCTTGACTGTGGCCTCTTGGACATCCCCAGAATCTTGTCACGTACTGTCCTTCGAGGATCACATTTACAAATTAAGAAATAAATCACTACTATATGTATTACCACCTTAGCCACTGTGCTTTCTGTCCATCAAAACTAGTGGACGGGGGCCCTTTTACCTCCACACGTGTGGTTCATTCCCAATATTCAACTCTATTGCCTGTTTCCAAAGCCTCAAGCTTTAGGATTTGAGACTGAGGTCTCCTTCCCATGCCTTGCCCTTTCTACCAGGCTGAGGAGTGTTTGCCTTGCGGGGGCAAATATGGCCAACAAATACGCTCTTCGGCCAGCCCTGGAGGGTCTGCTCTTTCAGGTCCCCCTTCTGGGGTCTCTGCCGGGCCATCCAATGCGCTGCCGTTATAAAACTTGCTTCTGTTCAAAGAGCTTCTGGATCCTGCAGTGTCCGGAGAATGAGACATTGGTGACGTTATCTGTGGCTGACGCGTACAGACCTGTGTGACCAAGTCTCGTGCTAAAGGACAGCTTCTCCCACTTGCCCCAACTGCCTTCAGCAGTTACCCCCAAACCCTTCATGGAATAAAGTAGGAGCATAAAATAAAGACAAATGAATAAATAATTGATTTCCTTCCTTCCTTCCTTAGCCCTGTCTTCCGTCCCTGCAAGTGAGAGCAGCGTCCCTGGAATGGGTCTGAGGGACTGGCCTGGGAGATGGTGATGGTACACCTCTCCCTCACCCCTGTCAGGGTGGTTCCATAACAGGTGAGCCCAATTCCAGTTGGACATTGGAATCTCCTGGGTGCTCTTAAAGAATGCCTGTACCTGGCTGGCCCTTTCCCAGACCAGTTAGTTCAGACAATCAAGTGATTCTAATACACAGCAGTTGAGACCCACCACTCGATGGCAGTCCCGGCATCAGGGACGGAACAAGAGCACCCATGAATCCCCACCCCAGGGTCTTATTTAGGATAGAAATCTTACGTGCCAGTCTTGCACCCTGGCTCTGCAAGAGCCGGCAGGAATGTCTCTATCGAGACAAGGACACGAGGGACAGGACTCCAAGGGATAGAGCACAGGTCATCAAAGAAAGAGGACAGAAGCCCTGGATTTCAGGGCCCAGGTTCATCTGTGTCCTCCGCACACAGAGGGCCAAGTAGAGGAACTCCATCCGCCCTCTGCTCCCGTGCCAACAGGGAGTATACAACATCCCCCACAGGGGTCTACCCAACATCTACCTTTCCCCCCCAGTCCCCAAACTTGACCTAAAATCACCTCCTGGGGAGGCATTCCCTCTCCTTGTATTCATGCAACTTTGTTTGCTTCCTGGGTTTAATGTTTGCCATTCACCCTCCGCTACACTTCATGTTGCGTCTATGCCAAGTTTCTTGTTTCTCCCTCCATTGTTTCTGACAATGTGAATTTATACTTGTGTTTACCCACTTTTTTCAAAAAAGCAAAAGGTAGCCCACACCATACCTCTGTAAACATCGCTTTCTTCACTCACTGTGTCCTGAGGATGCCTTCCCAGCAGTAGACAGAGACCCTCCTCATCCCTGGTAGACTACCTAGGGCTCCAGTGTGCAGACCCACCATCAAAAGAAACCACGGTCTCCTGTTGTCAGATCCTTGGCTTCTTCGTAATCTTTTGCTGTTCAAGGTAGCGCCATATGCATACGTCATTTTGCGTTTTGCCAATAATACCCCAGCTTGGGGTAGGCTTCTAACTGCAAGCACTCAGCTCTCTGTGTCTGTGCCTTCTGGAGAGCATGGTAAGCAGCAAGTGACCTGGCAAGCCAGTTACACAGGATTTGGTCCACAGAGTTCCTGGTGTACCTTGGAAAGTACACTTGTACATGTCTCCAAATGAATGCTGCCGTGAGTTTTCTGAGTACCAAGGCTAAGCTCCAAGTCTGGACTCCCTGGGCCTTTTCAAGTCCTGGTTTAAGCCCAGACCGATTCTGGCTGTTCGTTTTTGCCTTCCCACAGCTTCCATGGGCCTCTACTAGAGGCCTCTAAAGAGGCCTCTTTCCACCTCTACTATCACATTCTCTGTGATAGCACAAGAGTGGCAACAACTGAGGTGCAGGGTTCAAGCTGCAGACTACTATCGCAGCAAAATCTACTTTACGAGGAGGTAGTGGGCCATGAATCGTCAGCACCCCTGGGTGAGATGCAATACAGTTACTGTTCCCTCTCTGAACTTGAAAGGCCAGGTACAAAAGGACTGCTTCGCTCCCAGTCTTGACTTTTTTTCTAGCCCAGAATTTTTTTTTAATGTTTATCTATTTTTGAGAGAGAAAGAGAGACACAGAGTGGGAGTGGGGGAGGGGCAGAGAGAGAGGGAGACGCAGAATCCAAAGCAGGCTCCAGGCCCCGAGCTGTCAGCACACAGCCCGACGCGGGGCTCACACCCATGAACGGTGAGATCAGACCTGAGCCAAAGTCAGACACTCAACCGACTGAACCACCCAGACACCCCTCTAGCCCAGAATTTCTTAACTACCTCTTTGGAACGGTTTCCTATTGCACCTGCTTAGGCCCCAGTTCGCAGGGCTCATGTTCCTTCGCTCTCGGCCCCACAGCAGCCCCAGGGAGAAGGAACCCGGTGTGAAAGCATCCGGATTGCATTGCCGACTCCATTCCCATTTGCCTTTCACCTTCCACCTCCAGCGGCCTTGGGGTTATCATTTTCCAAGCCTCCCTGAACCACGGCCCCCTCACACCAGGCCTGGGTCTCAGATTACTTTTCCCAGATAGAGCCCTTGGCATTTTCCCAAACCAAACTCCACGGCAGGTCTCGTTTAACTTCTGAGTCCCCCAGTGCAGTTTATGATATTTTTTCTGCATTTCGTATCAGCTGCCACCCCGCCTGATTTCATCTGCCATCTGGGTACCTGGGTTTCTCCGATTTGTTATTTTTCTTCTGGGACCTCTCAGTTCTTGTCTACAAGAGGTCTGGATTCTACTAATTGACCTTCCAGTTGTAAACAGCAATCGTTTGTCAGGGGTTAGAGTCGGGGGTCATTCTACACCCACCCAAAGCCACGAGGGCCTCCACTAAACATCTACCTTCCTCTCACTTGTTTGCGTGTCCCCTTCACATCCTCAGGAGGGCCAGCTCCCTTTGGCAGACGGACCTAGGCATAGCCTGTCTATGCACATGTCCCGTCTGGAGTGGATAGTCCACTGCAGCACGTTGGGTTATGTCCTCGGTAGCACACTAGGCCAGGGATCTTTAACCTGTTCTTTGGCAATGCTTTGGCAATTAACACTCACAGATAAGACTCTTGGGACAGATGCTCTCCACCAGCCACTGCCCACATGAGATAGGTTGCGGGATATACACAACTCCCACCACTCCGACTGAAGTTCTACCTGTTTCTCTGCCAAGGAACGTCAACACACCAGTGTGGTTCAGACAATGATGGTGAGGACCGCAGCCTGAGACCCTGGGCTGTGTCCGGGCAGACAGACTGCCTTTTCACCTGTGAATGCTGAGTGCGTATTTCAGTGCTTGGCACAGGGTAGTAATTATTCACTGAGTGAACGAATATATGCTGCCACATACGTGCCATTACCTAATGTTTGCATTCTTGAATCAGTTTGCATGTTACTAATGTGTCCTTTAGGATTCAACTGGCAAATTTTAAGAACTCCGTACTCCTTATTTCTGTGGAGTACTGATAATACTCTCTTGAGCATATAATACCTGGGAATACGGATGTCAGTATATCACAGTGAAATTTCCAGGATCAAATGGGGAACTAGTCTGGATTGGAGAGATCATTTTTCCTCGGGCCATTCAGCTGGGTGAAATTAAATACAAAACAGCTCAAGTTTATCCACAAGCAACTTAACATTACCAATAATAATAATAATAATAATAAGCTTTTGAGGCCAAACCCTAAAATCTCTTACACATCTTCTCTGCCTTCTGTAATCCTTGGAATGGATATTTAAGACCAAGTCCAAAGTGATACTTACCTTATCCCTTTTATATTCCACCAACACCTAAGGAAGTGTGTACCCATAATTGAGGCAGGTTGTAAAGAAAGAATGGGTGTTTATGATACATAACTGAAGCTTTGAGAAGCAAAGAAAAAGCAACATGAAAAAGTATAATCATTGAAATGTAATTACATACATACATATACCCACATACCTGTTTTCAACAGATAAGCTAAATGGCACACTTGTCTGAGCTGGAGAAAAAAAAATTGGCAAAGCAGACAAGAGAGCTGAGAAAGTCAGCCCAAAGGGATAAAAAGCAGGAAAAAGTTCGTCACCAAGTCTAGTGTAGCTCAGCTTTGGCATTACCTGTCATAACCACACATTGCAATCGTTTTGGAAGCGTAGCCTCACATCTTCTGCCTTTGACATTGGAGATTGTAGACTCACGGGCTCATAGGCTTAGTCTTTTTCCTCACTGCTTTTTCATCTTTAGACCATTGTTTCTTTTGCCAATACCTGGTAGCCGCTCACCTTGCATGTCATCTAAGTGATCATTCCACTTGAACAAAACACGGAGCGCAAAAATTGGCTCACAATTATAAAACAGACGCCTGATTAAACTGAACTAATAACCTTGACGCATAGTACAAAGCATACACGTGCAGCCAGTGAGCCATTACAATCCAGTGGAAGAAGGGATGGACTTGTCAATAGACAGTGTTGGGCAACTTTGCCATTTGGGGAAAATTCAGGGTGGATTCTCACTTCCCCCTTCATGGCAAAATACATTGCTGATTGACAGAAGGGTTGGGTTTTTAAAAATGGAACTACCAGGGCGCCTGGGTGGCTCAGTCGGTTAAGCATCTGACTCTTGGTTCCGGCTCAGGTCATGACCTCTCGTCTTCGTGGGTTCAAGCCCCACCTTGGGCTCTGTGCTGACAGCACAGAGCCTGCTTGGGATCCTCTCTCCTTCTCTCTCGGCCCCTCCCCCACTCATGCTGTCTCTGTCTCTCTCAAATAAATGAAATAATCAGAAACGCTCAATGAGAGGGAAAGAATCCACAAAATGCAATGTTAACTAAAAGGATATTATTAAGAAGTATATGGCATATTCAAATTTAGTACATTCATACATACACATACATTAGGGTTGTCACATTTAGCAAATAAAAATATAGAGCAGCAGGGCAGCCTGGGTGGCCAAGTCAGTTAAGTGTTCAACTCTTGGTTGCGGCTCAGTTCATGATCTCACAGTTTGTGGGTTCGAGTCCCACAACAGGCTCCTCACTGACAGCGTGGAGCCTGCTTGGGATTCTCTCTCTCTTCCTCTTCCTCTCTGCCCGTCTCCCACTCACACTCTTGCTCTCTCTCAAAAAAACAAAAACAAAAACAAAACAAAACAAAACTATAGGACAGCAATTCAATTTCAATTTCACATATAAATAATGAATAATTTTTTAGTATAAATACGTACCAAATATTGCATCGACATAATTGTACTAAAAAAAAAACTCCATCACTTATCTTAAATTCAAATTTAAATAAGCATCCTTTGTTTTAGCAGACAGCCCTAATATACATATGGGCAAATATACAGGAAATAAATGATTGGGAGAAAATCTACCTAAACATTGTATAGTGACTAACTCTAAATAAGATTCCAAGTTGTTTTTATTTTATTTCTTACACTCTTCTGCATTTTATAAATTTCATCTAATGAGCAAATATAATCTTATCATCCAAACATTTTTTTTTTTTAAGTTTGCCCAAAGTGTCCTTTTGATGGTGAACTCTGACCCATTACACACTGGATGTTTTAGTTATTAGGATGTGATTCCACATGAATATGTTCAAACTATATTCTATGCCTCTAAAAATAAGAGATACATTTGCACTCGGCGAAAGCAACAGAACTACTACTTTTCTAGATCCGCCACCGAATTTTGTAACAACTTTCTTCTTAAACCTTCTTAAACTACAGTCGGAGTTTCTCAGGTTGTTGTTTTATTGAATGTCCGCTACATGCTTCGAGCCGTGCAGGAGGTTGGAGATTAAAAGGTAAACAAGACACAGTGGCCCCACTCAGTGAGCTCATGGCCAGTAGCAGAAATAGCCAATGAACAGACAATTACAGTGCTGGGTACTGAGTGCTGAGTGCTGGGGGCTGAGTGCTATGTGTTGAGATGCGGGTCAGACACAGGAGGAGGGGAAATGCACTGTCTTAGATTATGGATGTGAGAAATGGCTTCCTGGGGATGTGCTTTCTCTGCTGTTGAAAGACAAGAAGGTAGCCAGGTGTACAGGGTGTGGTTGGAGAGGAAAAAGGGAGGAGGAAGTTATTGTTTCTGGGCTGAGCAAACAGCACGTGCCTGGAAATTAGATTGGGGAATGTAATTACCCGTCTTGTGGTCTGACTGAGAGGGGCTACAGGAATTATACGCTTTGTTATCAATCATTATTATTCTGTTTGTCATCTTGTGGAGAGCTCTGCCAAGCAAAATAGAATATTCTTTGCAGCTCATATCGAATTAGTAGTGCCTTTCAAATCTGCAAACCAGACTTAGGCCAGGTGATAGAGACTTTCCCAGTAACTGATGCTCACAGAAAACCTGCATTTTAATATCACCGTTTGCATAAAGTCTTCCCCACAGATCTGAAAAATAATCCCTAGAGGTGTGAAAACCGATCTAGAACCTGCTTTCTATCCCATATGAAATTATACAGACATATTATACACGGGTGACTTGGAGTCTTTTTAGATGAATTGGATTCAGCTCCTCCTGCCGCAGAGGAGAAAAAAATCTTCTATTTGACGTGGTCAAAAGTTGACATGGTCTTATTCGATGAGGCAGGATTGCATGGCCTCAATAGAAAATTGATTCTGAAAACAAACTGTTGCCAGAATAAAACTACTTTAAATAAACATCAATCACTTTGGGCAGTCGTTCTCTAGAATTCCATTGGCTCTTTTCAAACCATTGTAGCAGACGAATTTTTTTGGCTGGGGTGAGGTAGGGAGGGTGAGGTAGGGTGCAGGGACGGGTGTGCATTTGCAGCCAGTTCGTTGAGGCAGACACATCAGGAATCCAAGCTGCTCAGAACTAAATGATCCACAGGAGAATTAATAACATTTCTTCTGGCCGTGGTGGGGGACTGACATTCCTGGCCTCAGAAAATGTCCGGCCCAAATCATCTGGGCAGTGTTCCATGGGGCACTGCAACCTACCCCCAATGGCCTCCTTGGACCAGCCTAGAGTGTGTGGCCAGCCTCCCTGAGCTCTTCTCTGTGCTCCACCTAGACTGGCACCCATTTACATGGCCCAATTCTCATACAGGGAAGGATGCCTGCTGTTTCCCTGTTTATCTGGCCCTAATGGTGTGGGGAGCTGTCCTCAGTGAGGACCCCAAATGCTAACAATCACTCTGGTCAGAGTTAGCCTATTCTCAAACTGTCCCTCTTCACCACCCATCAAAACCCAGGCTCCTCCACTGTCCAAAAGGAAGGCAGTTCTGACACATGCAGCAACATGGATGAAACTTGGAAACATGCTGAACGACAGAAGCCGGGCACAGGAGGACAGATACCATATAATTCCATTTATACGGGATGTTTAGAGTAGGAGTAGCCAGAGAGACAGAAAGTAGAATAGGGCTTACCAGGAGTGGGAGGAGCAGGAAAATGGAGAGTTATCGTTTCTTGGGTAGAGACTTTCTGTTTGGATGAAGGAAAAGTTCTGGAGATAGATAGTTGTGGGCTACACAACACTGTGAATGTGCTTCATTGCCAATGAATTCTACACTGAAAACATGGCTAACGTGGCAAAGCTTTCTAAAGTTTATTCTACGAGAAAAGGCTTTTATCTTTTAAGAAGTAAAGAAATAATTGTCAGACCTTGTATAAAAGCATTCTCTTGACTCCTAAACGAAGTCTTTTTAGAGCCTCCCTGACCTCTTAATGGATTCATTTTCTGGTGTACTACTGATATATTTCATAAAGTGTTCTAAGAAATATATTAACTCAGGCTTAATAGTCTTCTGGGTGAATTATTATGGGCTTATGTAAACAATCATTTGGAGAAATTCATGAAAAACTAGTGTGAAGAACTCTGGTTATTGTCTGACAATTTAGCAATTTGAAAGGTGCCCACATTTCTCTTTAAAAGAAATTTACATAAAATCATCCAAAGGGAAACAGTCAATTTCTTAAGAATTCATTAATTGCAATACACTTCCTTACTCATAATCAGGACACTAAAAAGCACTCACTTAAGGTGCCAAGAAGTGCCATGTTGGAAATGGTAAATATTATGTTTATTTTGCCGCCCACACACACAAAAAGCCGGAATGGGTGATGAAATGTTCTAGAATTAGTGGCGATGGGTTGCACAACTCCGAATGTACTAACAGCCACTCAGTAGTGCACTTTAAAGGGTGAGTTTCATGGTATGTAAATTAAGGCTATTATTTCAAAAAATAAATCCAAGCTGAGAGAAGTGGTTTTTATGAGGAGTGGAAAGAGAGAAGTCAAATAACCCAGAGCCCCTCCCAGCAGCTGGAAGAAATTTCCTAGAGAACCAGGGGAGGGGAGAAACACAGAGGCAGAGGCCAGTCATGTCCCAGGCAAGACCCCAAAACAGAGTGCGAGGGGAGCAACTCACTTTCAGGGATGCAGATATGAGAGGGAAAAATAGCAAGAAACACAACAGGACAGCTTTTTACTTTTTGCAAACCTTCTTCTCTTGTGAGTGTTCCACGTCTTCAGAGGATTTGGACAAAGATCTTTGGGAGGGCGTGGGGTTCACCCACACCTCTGGCATCTGAATTCTCTGCTGGGTCCAAAAGGGACGGGCAGAACTTAGGTACCCAGGCGCCATTCTCTGGACCCTCACTAAGATGCAGCACAGGGCTGTCACAGCAGGGGCTCCGAGGAGTCACCACCAGAAACAGGTGCACTGGTTTAGTGCCTTAGCTTTCCCACAAGAGTGACCACCCATGAGGACAGGGACTTTGACTTGCTCGCCTGTATTTACAACAGTTCCTGGCACACACCCTGTTCCTGACAACAATATGTATTGATGGAGAATGGAAGGAAGGAAAGAAGGAAGGAAGGAAGGAAGGAAGGAGAGAGAGGGAAAGAAGAAAGAAAGAAAGAAAGAAAGAAAGAAAGAAAGAAAGAAAGAAAGAAAGAAAGAAAGGAAGAAAGGAAGAAAGAAGAAAGAAAGA